ATGCTTTCTTCTAAGTTGTGTATCAGATCCAGATGTAAATACCTGGAAATAAAAGCTGAAATGTTGTCTCATGTTTATCTTTTGATGTCAAACCCAAATGTTTTCACTCTACAGCTAAAATAAAAGAATTGGCCTCACTGTTCCAATACTTTTGGAGGGGAGTGTATATAATATCACCACACTTGTCCTTTACCAAATAGCCCCCCCAAACCTCCTCCCAGGTCTCCACAATGTGTTCAACTGTGTAAGGTGCAATATCCGATAACAATATCAGGGAATGTACGTATATTTTTAAACACACAGGATTTACATGTTTGCATGTTAAGGGCTGTTAAAGGAATACAGCTATCTGGGTTTATTCATTTATTCAGATCCCCATCAGCTGCAGATATTCTTCTTCTTAATCTATTTTAACACTCAGTGGTACAACAACCCTCTATCAGTTGAGCTTGTTTGGATTTTTGTCCCCCACGTGAATGCATAATGGTAAATGCTGACTGATCACGCCACACAGACCATGGCAGCTTCTGTGCACGGTGAGATCATTTATATACCATCTATCGACACTAACAGTTCTCAATTCAATCATTTTGACAAACAGACAGCCTTCACTGCACTGGTCAGTGTGAGGTCCCATACAAATATAGTGTCATTTTGTCACACCTGTACTAAAGAATCAACATCTTTCCACAATGTTAAATACCACTGACAGTTATGGTTTGAGAAAATAACGTGAAAGAAATTAGAAATGTGCATCTCTTAAATCTACAGGAACGTAACAAATAATTAGTAATGGATTACTTTTTTTAAAAGTAACATTGCAGACACTTAACAGAGCTGACTGACAAGTCTATCTACAAACTGGTTGACTGTTAAGTATTGCCTTCAACAAAAATGAACATTTGGTAAATATAAAAAGGGATTGTATGTGTGCAACATGCTGCCGATGGAAAGACCGAATACATGGCCGCTGTGCCAATTTATTTTTTAATGTTGTTCAAATATATTCATCTAAAGCTGGTTTTCTTGAGAACAAAATTAATGAAAGCACATTTCTAAATCTTGACAGATTCACAGTATGCTCGCAGTCATCTTTGTTCGTGAAGCTAGCCCAGTGTGATTAATAATTCAGTTTGGAGCTTATTTGGCTAGCTATGATAATCGATTAGTCCTTTTGAGTCTGTCTGAAAGAAAAACATTCTCTGATTTCAGCTTCTCCAATGTGAATATTTTCTTGTTCGTAAACACAATTATCTGTGGGTTGTGGACAAAACAAGGAGGACGTCACCTTGGGCTTTGGGAAACAGCGATCAACAGTTTTTACCAGTTAGCTGCAGCCGCCATAGCACAGCAACCAACCTATTCATGTTAAATGTTAGAATTCCGTTACAAATCTATGTTTATTGAAAGCTCACAGCAGGTCAGGTCTACATTTAAAGAACCGTCCATCCACCTGTGCTAGACTGGTTATGGTTGATATTGTGAAGCCACTTTATTAGACAGGTCCCTGGGGTGACATTAGCTTAGATGGGGGCGTTGTGTAACAATAGTAGACTGGGACTTTGATTAAAGATCACAAAACCCTTGTGTACGTCTTCAGCATTGTTCTTATTTTGTTGGCAGAGTGTTTGTCCGTCTTCTCTTTGTGGCGGCATGAGCAGCTCTTTCAGTCATAATCTTTGAGGTGCCTCTGATATCATCTGCTATTAATGCTATTAATACTTCCTTTTAATGTCGTCTGTCACTAGCGATCAAATGGCTTCATGCAAATATCCGTCAAGCCCCTCCCTATTCAGGGGTGGTCGGAACGAACTCACCACTGATACTGCTCATGCCAGAGGTGGGACTGTTGTACATACTCAGCTCATCTGATCCTCTCTGCGGACAAAAGAAAAGGACAGACAAGACAGTCAGGCACAGTTGTGAAATAATGAGGAAAACTATTTCCATTTTCCAGACAGGCCCTCAATAAAACAGGTCTCTAAAGAGAGTTTAAAGTGACAAAAGGATGGTAGAGGAGTAAGTGGAAGGAGACAAAACAGCGAAGAGGGGTCTGGCTCCTCCTTTTCTGGTGTGGGTTTGATCTGGCTGAATTTAAGATGTCAAGATGTGTCATTTCATCCTGAGCTATACTATGTCCCAGAAGGCTCACCAGAGCTGACGGGCGCCCTGTGCTCTTAAACCTGACTGATGGGATGAAGAGGAACCTGGCTAGGGAGCTATTACACACACAACTTTATAATAGCTTCATACACCCCTCCTTGTTTCTGTCTGACTGAATTTGAACCAATTGTTCTTTTGTCACTAACATTCTTTATGGTTACGATAAACTAGATGTTGCAGGCCCTGCTACAGCGACATGACACACATAAATTGAAAGGGTAATAAAGTTGTCTGACTTGGGCCAAAATGTGAGCACACGGTGCACAAGCTGCAAGAATCCGAGAAAAGATTTCTCTCGTGACAGCTGGCACCCCTCTCGGTTCCGTCTATGACACTGAAATATTGATGAAATAAACAGGATGGCAAAGACCCGCCATATCAGAGGAATCAGTATTTTATGACTGTTTCCCTTCAACAGGACTTTAACTTTGTTTTGTGCAGGCAGAAAAGCAGCTGGTGCTCAACAAATCAGGTTACAACAATGCGCTTACACAAGCCCTAACTTGTTTCATTAAAAGCCATTCTCATGCTATGAAACCTCAAAAAACGAATATTCTAAATAAATGTGATTGTTCTAGTGGTAACACGAGGATGCAATGTCAAGAACAGGATTTTAAGATGAAATGTGGTCTAATCTTTATGGCGTGTCCCTTTACATTCATTTCATGGATGTTTGTTGTGTTACAAAAGCTTATTGTTGTTCAGCAGGAGCTAATGTAAATTCAATTGTAACCATCAGTCCGACAAATTAACAAGCCAAAAAAATCCACTGTTTTAAATGTGAATATCTGCAGATTTTCTTTGTGTTTTCTTTGCGTGCGTGTGGACTGCTAACTGTTACGGAACAACACCCAATTTGAAGAAACCACTTTGGGCCTGGATAATCTGTCATAGACATTTTAGACAACCAAAGCAGAAAACTCACCTTCACTCCAACTGCAACATCACTGATGCTGAAAGAGAACAGTTTGCATTTGGTCAGTATGAGGGGATTTAAAATGGAAAACAAAATAAAAGTACAAACTGGAAGATACAGTCAGCTACAGAAACACCAGATATGGATCAACCTTTCTTTGAAGAACACAGAAACTTGTAACTAGAGCCTGACCGATATGGGCTTTTGAAAACACATTTTGCACCAATATGACTACTCAGAAGGCTGATGTCTTAAACAAATAAATTTATTAAAGAATAATTAAGTTTAAATATTATTTAACGTTAAATAACTTAACATATACATTATTAACCAATTCCAGAAATGACAGAGAAAATAAATTATAAATAAAATAAACACAAACATCAGTACTGTAAAAAATACAACGATTTTATCATCATATGAGGGGGTCTATTAGAGTTGCAATGATTAATTGATTAGCTGTCAACTATTAAATGAACTAGCAACTATTTCGAAAATCAATGAATCCTTTTGAAGCGCCAGCTTCTCGAGTGGTATATTTTCTTATTTCCTAAATGCTCTAGGACAGTAAACTGAATATCTTTAGGTTGTGGACAAAACACACTTTTCACCATTTTCTGGAGCAAACAACTAATCAATTAATCGAGAAAATGATCTCTACAGATTAATGATCAACAATGAAATAACAGGTTTTTTTTTTTAAACTAGTAGAAGTTGTGTGAAAATTGTATTTTATTTAACAACAACTGCAGTGTAGTATGGCCAGGGTTCACACTATTTATAAGAAATTTCCAGGACCTTTCCAGGACATTTCCCAGGAGTTTTTATTGACAATACAGGACAGGTAGGTG